TTCCAGAAATGGAAAAAAATGATAATACCGGTATGTACTCGCACATCATTGTGAAAAGAATGATACGCAAACATATCGATATCATCAGAGCATCGCACTGACAATGAGGCCGAATCTGATATCAATGACATTGACAATGATGTTTCCAAAGCCAGGTTAATATTAGGCCTGAATCTAACTTGCTGGAAAGCTGAAACTGAAAAGCAGGTGCGTTCTGCGTTTCCAAAGAACAAGATATACTGTAACGAAATTTGATTTGTACTGATTACCTTTACACAGGGACATGTAGATATCCTGAGTCTGACCTACGCGCCGAAGGCAGGCAAAGTGGGTTGGCCAAAGACCATGATTGAGATACGAGAGGTACTTGGTTCAAATCCTGCCTGGGTGCGGTTTTTCCAGGCATGCTGCTACCCACAGTCAACTGGGAACTTGTGGCCAGGCACAAGGGAAACATGGCTGCGGCTAATGGGGTCTTTCTCGGCACTTGTGTCAGTGGTTGTGAGACTTATCCACTCACCACCACAGTAGGGCGCTGCATCTGTCGCCAGGGTTTACCAGGTGTTAGCAGCTGTCGTGAGCTCCATTTGGAAACGAACACGATAATTACTTTTTTTTAAATATTTGTATGCCGCCTTAGATGTATGTTGACTATTTTCATAGACGTTGTGTGGCAATTCTTTTCTACCTTTTCATGCTCTATAAACCAAGTACCGGCATTCACGGTTTGCGTTCACGTGAAGGCAACATAATTATAATAATTATAGTATGGAATACTGAATGTGACTAATTGATGATGAATGTTCTTATCTTCGGTATATTCAATGTACAGCGTGCTGGCTCATGGCAGTATGTATCTTGTTGGAGAACCAAGCTGTGAAAGGTAATCATTTATTTTTTATTTTTTTAGTATTTTACACAACACAAACCCAGCTCGTAGTATACATATGAATCGCAAAAAGTATTCTTTCTAGACCATAAATATACATATAAATATGTGGACAAAAAAACAAGCAGCTACTGAGTAGGTGCTATATTGGGCAGCAGTGATGGTGAGGTGCAAGGGGCTCCACCGACCAAAGGTCTCCGTTTCAATGCCACGAGCACGCAAGAGGATAAAAGGAAACAGAAATGTAAAGCGAAGCTAGATCTAGTTATGGAGAGGTAGAATGAGTACAGCGAAGGTAAAAGTGCCGGTATACCGGTATGTGTTTAGAAAAAGATAAATCAGACACAAAGAAAGAGATTTTAAATTATCAGTGTTTGGTTTGATGTACTATGCATGCAAAACACAGCTGAGAACTCTGAGCAAGGCCAGGTACGCGATATAGCGGGTCTTGTTGATTTTTTGGTTGGTTTTTATTTCACTCCGCACATTCAAACGGGATGACGGCCCAATAAGATGACGGCTAAGGCATAGCCTAGAAGTGGCTATGGAAGAACACAGTAAAGGCTATGGAAGCACATAGTAAGAGAATAAGATACTAATAACTGCGAGTATACGGGGGGGGGGGGAGAGAATACGATGTATCTGTGATACTATCTGTGATACTACGTGAGGATTACTGAACTGCACGGCGAGGGGTAGCAGAACTATCAGCAGCAACTCGAACTACTCCCTACGTCTGGCAAGCAAGGAGCTCGATAATTACAGGAAATCTGTTGCCCAGTGCCAGTTGCGGTTTCTCAAGTGTCTGTATACTTTTGCCTTGACTGACTAAACACGTTTTTTAGTGTGGGCATAGCGACAGCACGCAGCGTGTCAGGAAGGGAGTTCCATGCACTAAAACTGCAGCAGTTTCTAGAACGACTGCTTCAAGACGGATGGAGTGGAGACATGGAGCGTGTCTGACAAAAATTGAGAGCCGTGGCTACTGGCATTACTGTGGCGGTTCCTGTTTCTGGGGTTGGCTGGAGAAACGCTATGTGGTCGCAATACAGCAAGTAGCTGAGGAGGATCAGCGATGAAATGCAATGTTACATGCACGAGAGAGCAGCAAAAGGCCGGCGGACAGCCAGACTAGGGAGAATTGCTCTAGGGCCAATGATCCACAGTGCCCAGCGTTGAACATTATCCAGGTGTTGAATGTGGCTGGCTGGGGAGCCCATCCACACAAGCTGGGCATACTCCATCAGGGACCTGACCAATGCCTTGCAGACAGCCCTTTGGCCAGCTGGCGTTAGAATGTGAGGCGTTGGAGAAAGCTCAGGCGCTCCTGGCTTCTGATAGTCACGGTCCCGAGGTGACTAAGGAAGGACAATTTGGAGTCAAATCGAACCACCAGTAAAAATCAAGAATCGCGCTCAGGACTTAAGAGAGCATGTCTGAGAATACCAAAGTATGTGTTTAAGTGGATCTCTCCGATTTCGCTCAACATTTGCAGGTAGGTTCCCTTTGGGGTGTGGATCGATTGTTCAAAGCCCTTGAAAAAGTTTCTGAAGGGAACCTTGAAATTTTCATACCCCTCAAAAATGGCCGAAATATCACATTATTTATGGGTCTAAACGAGTCACGTCACAGCGTATCCGAACAAGCTATGAACAAAACTCCATCAAGCCAACATTGCCTCACCTTAGAAGAGTTCCTGGAGCAGTACCGCTTAGCCACGCCAGGATCCCAGAAGACGAGGTCCATCACCCCCTGACGCCACAAATGATAGTCTTGAAAATAGCCAATTTGCAAGCGCGGGCAAAACAGCCAGCTACGTCCTCAATTGGCCAGAACTATACACCGGCAGATAGTAGAACACCTCTTCTAGCGCTGGGGACATGTCCCCATCTTCCTTTTGGGGTTTTCTTGAAATTAACTTTTTTGAATTTTTCCACTCGACCATGCTGAAATACGGCCAAAGTCATACCTGCGCAGGAAAGCGCCCCCTCCGCGACGTCTCCTCAGCAATTTCTACTCCAACACTACTCCCAAGGCCACAGAACAATGTGTATTGTTGACTCCGACAAGGAAAAGCAGCGGTGATCACTTGTCACTCTAAACGACAAGCTTCTCCTTGCGCCACCAATAATTTTTTGTGCGACTGTTGATGCAAAAGTGACTGAAGACCTGAGCGCAGTTTTTTGAATTTTACTACAAGAGGCACGGTGAAATCACGTGCCTTGTGACGCAAGAATGCCAAGTCGCGTGGATCACGCGGCGCACGAGATTTCAGAGTCACCTCGTATACAGTGCGCTTGTTACTCGCCTTGAACGCCCGTCGGTCTGGAAGTGATCACACTTGTGTTGTTACTGCGCTCAAGAACACGCTGGCCGTGTTGTAGGCCTACGAACCGGGACTTTCCCTGACCATGTAGGTCGAAGACCAGTGAAATGATGATGAAATCACATTCTTTATGACGTGAGGAATCTGTCATGCAGTTCACGCGACAAGTGCGTGCAGCCAGTGCTGCTCGCGTGCCAGTAAACACAATCGAACGAGCTAGCACTAGTAGCAGCTTTCGTCGAGCATCGACATGAAAACAAAGGACTTTTACTGTTGCACTATGTTCGGGATTGCAGGAAGTAAGTGTGAAAGATGAATATCTCTCCATGATGTACGAGGGGCATATTTCAACGGCTTGCTGCCATTGCAACACTCCTACTACATGTACTAGTCCTAGGACAGTTTGTGGGGGTTCTCAGCAGATCAAGCAGAAAATGCAGCTCATCTTACCTCTGCCATCATGGTCTGTTCCGAGTAGCGTTCCAGACACGTTCGCGATCGATGGGCGCGTGTCGTGATCCAGGAAGCGCCATCCTACGGCCCAGAGCACGCGATCTCACCGTGCATCTTGCAATAAAATTCAAAAACTGCGCTCAGGACTTCAGTCACTTTTGCATCAACAGTCGCACAAAAAATTATTGGTGGCGCAAGGAGAAGCTTGTCGTTTGGAGTGACAAGTGATCACCGCTGCTTTTCTTTGTCAGAGTCAACAATACACTTTGTTCTGCGGCCTTGGGAGTAGTGTTGGAGTAGAAATTGCTGAGGAGACGTCGCGGAGGGGCGAGCTTTCCTGCGCAGGTATGACTTTGGCCGTATTTCAGCATGGTCGAGTGGAAAAATTCAAAAAAGTTTATTTCAAGAAAACCCCAAAAGGAAGATGGGGGACATGTCCTCAGCGCTAGAAGAGGTCTTCTACTATCTGCCGGTGTATAGTTCTGGTCAATTGAGAACGTAGCTGGGTGTTTTGCCAGCGCTTGTAAATTGGCTATTTTCAAGACGATCATTTGTGGCGTCAGGGGGTGATGGCCCTCGTCTTCTGGGATCCTGGCGTGGCTAAGCGGTACGGCTCCAGGATCTCTTCTCAGGTGAGGCAATGTTGGCTTGATGGAGTTTGTTCCTAGCTTGTGATATTTCGACCATTTTTGAGGGGTATTCAAGTTTCAAGGTTCCCTTCAGAAACCTTTTCAAGGGATTTGCACAATCGATATACGCCCATAAGGGAACATCCCCTGCAATTTTTACGCGAAATCGTAGAGATCCACTTGCACACATACATGTACTTTGGTGCTCTCTGACATGCTATCTTTAACTTAAAAGAAAATCAAAGAGGTGTTGATGATGTGAATGGTCCAGAGCAGAATCACTTACAGTGGAGATGTGATGGTGAAAACAGTCGCTGTGACATAGCCATTTGCCGAGCACTGACTCATGCACTTACTGCGCTGAAGTATGTGTATGTGTATATCGCCTGGCGTGCATCGGCGGTGCAACATGAGCAAACTGATGGACACGGTGAATAAAAAAGCATTCTGTTTCTGATTTTTCCTGCTCAGAGAGTGGTTTTAGAAAGGCGTATACGCCGTCTCGACAGTCAGGTGTGGTTTAAGCACCAGTTATTTGCTGTTTTGTTTGTAAAGTATCTTTCATTTCCTTCCCCAGTGGTTGTATAGCGGCACATTAAGTATTGTTTTCCCAGTACCTAGTCCCAGTGTTAGTGATGTAATGAGCTAGTATTGTGACACTGTACTGTTGTGTGTGTTCATGCAGGTCAAGCTGTCAGTCTAATTGCTGGTGGTAGAGGACAATCAACACCACCATTCACAGTGACATTTGGTGATGGACAACCTACAGCCGATGTTACCAGTTACTTACCTACGTGTGTTGTGCCCAGTGGATCAGGACCATTCATTCGACTAGAGAAGACTGATGGTAGTCTAGTGTTGGGTGAGACAGGTGCCTTCTCAGGAGTTACTATTGTACAGGTGAACACCACAGTACATCCTATACTGGACACTTCATACACTGGACTGTACCATTGCAGAACAGCTACACACAACTCTTCACACACATATCAACTCAACATTGTAGGTAAGTACTAACCGGCTTCTTTCTTTCTAATGCATGCAAGGTGAAGAGAAATATAGCAGTGATTTAATACCGTGCGAGGCGCCCGAGCATTAGCACGAGGTTCAGCCCTCACCAACGCTGTACAAAACGTCCCTGGCCCGTTTGTCAACGGTCGCGCTAATGGACCAATCAGCGTACAGTTAATGTACCAAAATTCTCTAACTTACCGTAATTCCTTGTTTCATACGGTACGTTGGAGTGTTCAAAGATTTTTTTATTGACCAACGTCTTCTTTCGATAGATACTAACAGATCGTCCGCTTTGAATTTTTCGATTTGATTGCAGTTTGGCCGAAAATTACCTCCGAAACCCGCCTCCACTCGTTTCACTTCAAGGCTTTCCAGGTGGACGCCATCGCATTTTCGGAAGCGGAGAAAGGATAGCCAGTGAAAAAAGAACAACAATGACGTATTGGTTGTCAAAATCGTCCAAGAAATGAATTCAATAAACCAGTTTCCGTGCTGCGCCGTCGCGGCCCGCGCGAGTGAGAAAGGGACCAAAGGGATACTTTCTCGACAAAACAAACAACAACTACGCACAGTGCATGCAGATGCTTTATGCAGTAAGTTACACAACGACATACTAACATTTTACAGAAGAGGATACTTCCCCTCCTACCATAAATATCCGGAAGGACAGAGCTTTCTTACAAGTAAGTTGGAACATGTGTTACATCTCAGAGTTTCACACTTGCGAGATCATCAGGCTATATTTGTACTGGTCTGAAACGGGGAAAAAGGTTCAGTTACAGATGTATATGTTGGACTCAGTAGAGCGTCCAGCCCCTATATGATGTCCAACCCCTATATAGAGTCCATTGGTCCAAAATCCACTGTACAGAGTCCGAACTTGAAATCAACTGTGAGCTCAAAGTTTAGATGGACATCACTCCCTGTATAGAGTCCAGCCAATTGGCTTCACCCCTATATAGAGTCCATTTGTCCAAAATTAACTGTACGGAGTCCAAACTTTGAAATCAACTATAAAGATTAAAGAGTCTTATGTGGACAACACTCCTGTATAAAGTCCAGCCAATTAGGCATCCCCTATCCAGAGTTCGAAATTAGACATATGACCTACTGTAAGCAGTGAATATTACCCAGAAAACGGCCTCTCCCTTTAATCCTTTACATCATTCACTTCTCAAGATAAAAAATATGTATTGAGGCGCCACTGCAGCCACTTCATTACATGAAAAAGCCTACAAACACCATCCTCAAATCAATTGGTCTCTTCGCAGACGCTGCAAATTACAATATCTCAATCATGTAGTGTTGCCAAAAAATTGTGCACGCACACACACATGCACATACACACACAACGCCAAGAAAATACCTAGAAAAAAACAAGAATCGAAAGAGAATAATGGAGAGCCCAGGATTAATTTGTTTTCAAATTATTGCGCGCACACGCGCACACACACACACACACACAAACTTGTACAACGCCAAGAAAACACCAAAAAAAGAGTAGAGACACGATACACACGCAACTCCAACAGCCATGCAAACGTCCACCCATTTACAAGTAAAGTCAAGAGGGATAACACATAATTATAAGAAACGAATGCATACGTGGGCGGAGGCACGCACGTTTACATACATGTAGTAGTGTAAGAGAGTAACATAGTGCAGTAGTCAGCATAATACTAGCACATGCTGAGAGTGCAATAGCAAGCTTCGCCATTGCTCATGGCCATGCAAATGTTCAGCAGCACTCAGTTCCGCAAGCTTCTGAAAATCAGCACACCTGCAACAAATAGATAGCGCAAGGATACGCTTATTACCGTAATGATGCATGGGAGCACACAACTACCAAGTTCTCAACGAATGTGATGCTCAATGAAAATCAATCCACTCAAAGACCTGTGAACAGGTAACGGTGGGGACAATAATCTATTAGTAATACGAGGAATAAGATCGTTTGTTCACACTCAAGACGCACAGACACACCACCATACATGTAGTGTACACAGTGTTTCACTTCACTGCAACTAAATTGAAATGAGATGATTTGAACAATCTGTACAGCGTTGCCGTCAGTCAGTCTTCCCCAAGATGGAAATGCAATGATTTGTTGTCACGAGGCAGTTTCACTGACACAATGTCATGTTCGTGACATCAAAACGGTTACTTCAGGGAATACGAGTATTAACTTGAGAAGCTTTTTCTTGTCATTGGCATACAAGCAATCCTCCTACTACTACTAGTACACTGGCACCGCGTTTGTGGATCCCATTGTATTTGACATCATACTAGAGGAAGAGTGTCGTGGAGTTTCACATAATTATCACAGGGATAAAAATACATTTCTCATGAAATAATTATAATAATTGATGATAGCTTGACGATCGTATACAATTGATGCAAAGTCCTTGCAGTCCTTGAGGACTATTACGAAGTGGTTGATTACTTTTAGCGCATTCGTTCAAGCAACATCAAACAAACACGATACGCTCCTTGAAAATGGAAAAAAATTCAAGCATAACGACAGAACAGCAGACCAATCGAAACGAGTAAAAGCTGCCTTACCTCAGTCATCGTCCTGCCATGTAGTTGGACAGCCTTTTGACACGGTGGTACAGGCAGCTCTTGTCCAGTCAAACAGGGGTATCCTTGTGGCGTCGAACGAAAGAGAGTGTCAGTGTATCTGACTCGTCAGATTGGAACTGTGCTGAACTTTTCTCTTTCTCCGGTTTCTGCTTTCATCCCTCGCTCTGATGAAACCGTTCAAACGTCTTACTGGCAGCAATGCCCAGCCAAACAGGGGATCCTTGTGGCGTCGAACGAAAGAGAGTGTCAGTGTACCTGACTCGTCAGATTTGAACTGTGCTGAACTTTTCTCGTTCTGCAATTTCTGCTTTCATCCCGCGCACTGATGAAACGTCTTCAGAGAACCACAAGACGCTTTCCAGATTTGATTTTGAACGTCTCGTTATCCTCCTTGGTTACCTCGTGACAGATTACTGTCAGCAACTTCACAGCAGAACTGGCAGCTATGGCTGAAGTGAAGAAAGGAATGCGCTGCCACCAGGCAAGCAAAACTGAAAATGTGTTTGTTCTTTTTCGGGCACAACACACAGTCACAGGACGGCGTGACTGGATAAACTGGACTCCTGGACTGTGAATAGGGGACTGGTAGAAAAAGTGTACTCCTCATAGGGGATTGCGCGGCAGGTTGAAGCTGATCACAACTGAGTGGACTCCTGGACTCTGTATAGTGGATTTTGGACCAATGGACTCTATATCGGGTGCTGGACATCATATAGTGCATGGACTTTATACTGAGTCCTACATATATGCAGAGGAATGTAACTCAAGGATCATTGCGTTGAGGATACAGTGGGAACCTTGCTTATATGTGCACTCACACCCGCACCCACTCTCACCCCCCCCCCCCCCACACACACACACCCGCGTGTGCGCGAGCAATAATCAACAACACAAAAACATATTATGCTAACACTCACTTCAACACCAACACCTCCACAATCACGCAAACACGTACACTCGCTCACCCCCTCCCTCCTCCCACACGCACACATATGCTCGCGAAATCATTGAATTATGCTTTCATGGATTCTCGCATTATGCTCGCAAAATTCTCATATTATACTTTGGCACGTGGGGATACATATTCACTTTGTTGTATTTTTGGAGCCTCAAAGTTCGGAAAATTATGCTTTTTTCGTACTTGCAAGTGGCCCTAAGTACAACAAAATGTAACATGAGTATCCCCATACCAAGGTGTCCATGCATGCTAGAGGTCGCCATGGAAAAGAGAAAACATTACTTCCCCCGTTCATTAGTTGACTTCTTTTCAAACGTTTTTACATGGCCAAATGCGTTTGAGTTACCGTTCAAATATCATGTTGAACTGTCTTCGTGGTCACCATAATCGCCCAACTGATGTCACCCTCACCGTACCAATAATCAGCTCATCTCTCCCGTAGCTTCACCTCTCCTTCAATCATGACCGAACATCAACTATACCTCTTAAAGTTTTTTTTCATTATTAGAGCAATATCCATAGCCTGCGGTGATGGCTGCTAAAATCCAGAGGTCATGACTTCGTAACACGCATAAATTAATTTACATTCAAGCGGAGGTTTGCGCACTACCCGTCATCATCTCGTCCGCCCCAGGATACCTGATAAAGTCTGATTCACTCCCATCTTCTGCTACATGCACTGTATCAAAGTGAGAAAGAACATTGAAGAACACGAGTTCGAGCATATGTCAAGAGTATTATAACCCCCCCCCCCCCCCAAGAGTGTGCAACTCTTGATTCCAGGGGTGAAAGTTGGCGCTGAAATCAAGAGTTCGGGTACTTTGATTTTCTCCAATCGAACATTCGAGTATTCGAGAAATCTTAAACTCCTAAAGATTGCGCACCAAGGATCACCGTTATACAGCCTTGGCTGAACCGATTGGCGGTCACTTTTATCTATTCATGAACAAATGTAGTATCCCTGCCCGACCAATACGGAAGCAGTACGGAACTAATTCGGAGCTTGCCTGATGTATATTTAGTGTATCTCCGTATGTAAGCGTACGTCGTCTGCTGCATAAAAGCGGCTGCGCATTTCTGTTTTGATGAAGATTAGATTAGATTGGATAGCAATGAAAGCTAACTCGAAGAATAAGGATTCAGCCTCTAGGTGAGCACCGGAGAGAAAGTTATTTATTTTGCCGCTTCTTCTTTGACTAACGATTATATCTCAGGTGTGTACCTGAAAGTAGAATAAAAGTAATTCTTGTTGATTTTACCGCGCCTACCACTCGGCTACCTATTACATTGGTGGCAGCGGTGTAGTTTTAAATAAAACAACGTGATTCGACCCCAGACCTCCATGGCTCAACCCGCTGCAGCTGCGTGTGACGAATCAAGATGAGAATCATGTTTCTTGTCTTCCTGGGCCTGGTCCTGCTTATTAGCTTGCAGCACAGTCAGGGTGCTAGCGTGGATCATCCTTCCCTCCGCATGGCATCCACTGGAGACTCCGATGGCGATTCCAAGCGACCCGCTACCTACATGTATACTACCGGTGGTGGTGGCGAAGCTGATGAGAATGACGACATGCAGGCTGCTGACCAAGACAAGAAGGGTATTCCCCAAGACCTGCAGCGTTTGATTTTCGCCGGCACGCATTTGGCAGACGGCCAAACCCTGAGTGACTACAACGTTCAGCAGGGGTCCACTATTCACTTGGTACTTCGTCTCCGTGGTGGGATGCAGATTTTCGTCAACACTCTTCCTGGCTAGACCATCACTCTTTACGTCGCGCAAAGCGATGCTATCGACAATGTGAAGACCACGATTCAAGACGAGGAGGGAGGTCATTTGTCTGACGCCGAGCTAGCCGCTCTGAGTGACCGGCTCAACCAAGATGAAGATAAAACCTGGCTCGCCCTCCGCCATAGCTCCAGCCGCCGCCGTGGTTACTAACGCTGATTCCAGGTACGGCATTTTCTTTCCTGTCTTCCTTCAGTCCCCCTGTTCTCTTCAGTCTTCCTTTATGCGAGTGTGTGAATCCAGTTTAGTTTGGTAGGCGTCTGATCATGGTGAGCCACGGCTTACCCAGCTAACGTGGGACAATGTGTGTGACAACGCCCCTTATAGTTATAGTGTATTCAGTTCGGTTTTTGAGCTGCGATGTTCCTGGCGGGTTGTGCCAGCGTTGTGCAGCAAGAGTGCTGTGGATTTTCAGGTCCTATTTGGAGAACAGTTCTTTCCCCTTTTGACCCCGTGAGATCGTGTGAACCTGGTGTGCTTCTACTTTATGATTTGTTATCAGTTCATTTCTTCTGTCTACTCTAAACGCTATCATTTCCGATATAATTTGCCATCTTCCGGTTGACGCTGTGTTCGTAACTCTTCACTAATTTTTTGAAAATCACGAGGGCGTGATAATCTGTAGGAAGGGAGGGTGTAGTATCCCTGCCCGACCAATACGGAAGCAGTACGGAACTAATTCGGAGCTTGCCTGATGTATATTTAGTGTATCTCCGTATGTAAGCGTACGTCGTCTGCTGCATAAAAGCGGCTGCGCATTTCTGTTTTGATGAAGATTAGATTAGATTGGATAGCAATGAAAGCTAACTCGAAGAATAAGGATTCAGCCTCTAGGTGAGCACCGGAGAGAAAGTTATTTATTTTGCCGCTTCTTCTTTCACTAATAATTATATCTCAGGTGTGTACCTGAAAGAAGTAGAATAAAAGTAATTCTTGTTGATTTCACCGCGCCTACCACTCGGCTACCGTTACATTGGTGGCAGCGGTGGGATTCGAACCCACGCCTCCGGAGAGACTGGAGCCTCAATCCAGAAAGGCTCACCAGTCAGTCTGCACATCAATATCTACTGACTGCTGCTCTGAAACTGCATATTTCTATTGTAACTGCACGAATCATGTTTGAACGAGTACTCTGATTTATTCCGAGTACGATTATTCTTTAAAAAAAAACGAGCGAGTCCTCGAATATTCTGTACAATTATTTCACCCCTACCTGATACCCTTTCTATGGGGTATGCCGACGGCGGAAACTCACATCACGTGGTGCAGTGTCTCAGTTGTACGCTTCCAGCCCGTTTCTAGCGAGCAGCGGAGTAATAAAAAAGCCCTCTATGACAGAAACCCACTGCGGGTATGCAAATCCCCAGCATGATCATGGCAGATATTCGGATTACGCTATCCTTCGTTTTTACGTAGTATGAACGTATCTGTGACACGGGATGGCAGTTTTTGCTGTCCGAGACCCCATGTGCAGAGCTGCATACTCTTACGGGGTTATATACTCTTGATAAAGATAATGTATTGCCATTATTTCTAACCTGCGTTTCATAGAAACACCATCTGCATGACCTCCGAACCCGTTACCATGCAGACCACCATCTCTGATCAGGTGCATTGTACACAATTGGGTTAGGCCACATACTAGAACTGTGGTACAATCATGTACTTCAAAGTAGTTATGCTCCTACCTCCGAAAGGATGCCAATTATATGCTCCAAAGTGTCAACCACCAAATCCTGCCAATAATTATGCCGGCATAATCTGGTGCCTACCCCCCCCCCCCCCCTCGCACACAAACTCACACCCCCACAGCTTGACTCCTCTCGCAGTATCCCTGCCTGGCTAATACGGAACTAATACCGAGCTTTACGTGATGTATATTTAGTGTATCTCCGTATGTAAGCGTATGGCGTCTGATGCATAAAAGCTGCTGAGCATTTCTGTTTTGATTAGATTTTATAGCAACGACAAAGCTAACCCGTCATTGAGCGCCAAGAGATTGATTTACAGCGCATGTGAGGCGTCGGTACTGCTGTACGGCACCGAGTGTTGTCCAGGCCTGCGACGTAACGAATTCTGCATTGATGGTTTTCACCGCTCTTGCTTGCGTATCATCTTACCTCCTTGCCGAGGTTTCCCATTTCTGGGTTACTTGGACCTCATTCGCTTCCTTGTTATTGGACATGTTCAATCCGTTCGGCTTGCGAATTCAAATAAACACAACCAACCCAACCATTTTGGGTGGATCTCGGCAAGATCAACAGTCAGATTCAGTGACCAATGGAGAGCTGAGGTAAAGATGGGGAAAGCCAGAGTTGTTATCCACCTGCATCTGCAAGCCGCGCATGAAGTGACTTGGACAAATTGCACGTATGCAGGATACCAGGCAACCTAAGCAGTGGTTGTTTTGATGGTTTAGCAAGGCTCTTCCGGCACTAGGTCCACGACTTCGGCTCAAGGACAGGGTGCATCACGACCTACGCTGCTTGAATACACCATGGTTTGCAACAACCCAGGTCGACCTTCGTGGAGATCGAGTGTCGTTGATGTAGTGCCTCCACCACCACCTTCCAAGCCAACTTTGCAACCGCCATCTTAGGGCGTCAGGGTACAAGCGGCGTAAGTGCAGTGCGGCCCGTCAACTTCCTGTCAGCCAACAGCCTGGTGGAAAGTCTTGTCAACGTTGTGGTAGTTGGTTCAAGAGTGCTGGTGGGCTGAAGGTACATAAGTGCCCTCTCGCAGGTTCCTCCCAACAGCTATCCCACTCTGTCGATCCTGCACCTCGACTAGTTGCTCATTGCTCATTGCTCATTCCACTGCCCGTCATGTGACCGGTGTTTTAGGCCTGCTGGTGGATATAAACGGCGCAATTGCGAGCGTGGCAAGCGACCAACAGCGAGGGAAGGTCTTGCTGTGCGTACGGCGAGTGGTATCGCAGGCAGCAAGATCTGCAACGACATAGTGTATAGGTTTGTGTGTTGTTGCTTATTGTACGCGTGCACGGGTACGTGTGTGTGTATGTGCGGAGACGAGAGCATGTATATGCGTGGTTTCACTGTATTCCTTGACCGTATTCCCCGTTTCATACCAGAAACGTGTTTTCCTGATGATGGGGCAAGCGTGAAACTCTGAGTTCCAATGAAAATTCTCTTCCAACTTTCATACTTGTAATAATATCCTCGACAACTTATTGATCGAGGTTTCTGCCCTCCGAAGTCTTTTCAGAGAGTCGTTTTTCTTGCAGGAAGCGGCTTTTCCCGTCACTGCATGACCAGTTGTGTATTTTGTCTTCTTGGGTGCATTATAGACTGTACTGACCTGGACAGTCTTTTCATATATTTCATTATACTGTTTCCATGTGTCCTTTTTGTACAGCTCAACAAGTTCAGTCAGGACCATCCCCTACACCACTGACATTGACCAACACTGGTGCTACTCACAACATACCATGCGTGTCAAGTGGAAACTTTCCTATCAACTCATCTTGGATCTCAACATTAACTCTAAACACACAGATGATCCAGACGGTGACACCTACGAATATGGTGAACTCAACGTTCAGCTTCCAGCAGAATGATTCACAGATAGTGTTTACCGAAAGTGATACATCAGGCGTTACCTTCATTATACTCTGTACGACATCGTATACTACACACTTTGATTGTTATGGAATGGGCTCAAATCCTCCGCGTCCACAAGGTGTGATTGACACATGTGTGAATGCTTCCAAATCAATATCTACCACTGTCTCTGTCACAATCCGAGGTTGGTATTATTTTGTTCAGAATTACTTGGTTTGAGTGAATACGAAGTGTGATGTGTACACTGACAATTTCAGATTTTTAACCTGTAACTGTCACTGTGGACAGCAATTATGCCAGCCCAGTCGTGCACTCTAAGACACGTTGTCCTCATGCCGGTTGGGGTTCATGTACATACAAAGGAGAGGTTAAGATGCACGGTATTTCTGACTTGACGTGAAAGTTCAGCTCGCGTTATTTGGCTCGTACGGCGAAGAACAACGCGAGTGACGTGAAGCCCACGTCGAAGTTTTACGCCAAATTTGACGTGAAACTGCACGTTACGTCGGAAATACCGTGCATCTTAACCCCTCTAATGTAGGTAACACATTATCTAGTGCTGGGAGAATACCAGTAACGCGGGCAGTAGGCCTAGCACCAAATACCTATCTAGGGGTTTTAGCAAATTCCACCTGTGAACAGCAAAGTGACTGCTAACAGAACAGAATCATTACTAGCCCTTTCCCAAAGGTGCTCGCCTTTTTTTCGCCCTTTTTGGCCGTTTTTGGAAAAGCCCTTTTCTTTCGCCCTTTATTGCGTTTTTCAGTGAGTATCGCCCTTTTTGAGCTTTTTTAGCTGAAAAAGTGCTAAAATCTGTTTGTTCATGCATGCGGTCACAGTTTCCGAGTGGTCGATGTGGATGGGCCTTGGCACGCCACATTTTCGGAGGGGGGGGGGGGGGGGCAACAAGTTGGTGAAGCTTGTATCCGGTGTACAGAATGCTGTAAAAAGTGGGTTTTCTGAACTTTACTTCCTGTTTTGCCTTTCGTGGACCCATACTAGTAAATGGAAGAGCACGCATTCATTTCTCAGCTTGGGTATCATATCTGAACATCATGCATCATGGCTATCCTTCACTGAAAAACAGTGTGGGTGGAGCTTAAACCTTGTTCCGGCTCCCCAAAGCCTATTATTGTCTGTAGTGCCTATCGCCCACCCTCTGCCAAAAGCACAGAGATAAATCACTTCTGTAACATGCTCACCGATGCCCTGGTCACTATCCCCATGTCCTCGTACCACGTCATACTGACTGGAGACTTCAACTGTAAGCACCAGCACTGGTGCCCAACTGACTCAACGTCCCCCGCGGGAGCTGCGCTCTACCGCCACCTCACCTGCTTCGGACTAGAGCAGCTTGTGAATACCCCAACGCACACAACACCTGCAGGGACCCAGTCGTGCTTAGACCATTTCTTCGTCAACAACCCACAGCTTGCAACGGATATTAACACGACTTGCGCTCTTGGATCCTCGGATCATCTGACCGTGTCATGTCGGTTCGAGCTCTCACCATCGCCTGGCTAACATCTGCAGCAAGCACCACGCAAACATTTCCCTTACCGCTATCGTCATGTCCCCTCTCACTGCTGGGACTCTCTTAATTCCGATCTTTCTCATTGTGACTGGTCATTTCTACGCCCAGGCAATTCCCCAACTGTTGACGACGCAGTCGATCGATTTTCAATCGTCCTGGAACAAACCTTCCAGCACCACCTCGCTGATTTTTCCACCCATTCTTGTCGGTCAAACACACGCACATCGTCTGTGACATCCAATCCACCCTTGGTGTCGACTGTCCTCGTAGCTGCGGTGAAATGTAAGCGAGACCTCTTCAGTGTCAGCCGAAAATTTCCAACACCTGTCAATATGGAGGCCTACCGAGTTCAACGCAACTTTGTCAAATACCTATCCCGTAAAACCTACTGCTCTTACATCAGCTCCCTCTCTGCAACAATCTCATCACCCAATCGTCCTTCTCTCTATCAGTTCATTCGCACCCAGCGTCCCAGTGTCTCTCGCGCCCCAATCCAGTGCTTGATTGATCCTGATGGCAACCGTCAGTCTGAGGCAAAGTCCATTGCGGACACTCTGAACAAACAGTTTGTCTCTCCCGGCCTTCCCGACGATCCGAACTGGGTTATCCCGCCCCTGCACCCAGCTCCAGAGCTGCGCGCTCCACTTCTGGAGGTCTTCACAACAACTGGTGTGGTCCGCAAACAACTGAAACGTCTTAAGAGCTGCAAGTCTCCTGGAAAAGACGGTATTCCAAATGAAGTCCTTAAACTGCTGGTGCCTTCCTTGTCGTATCCACTGTGCTTGCTCTTCAACTTGTCATATCGTGCAGGAGTCTTCCCATCTGCGTGGAAATCTGCTATTGTTGTCCCGATCTTTAACCTCTTTAGCACGACGCTACCTGAGCGCCCCCCACGACAACACCTGTAAAAGTCGCATTTTCCCATGAAAGTACTAGCTGCTCAAGAATCAATAACTTTACCTTCCCTTGGACGAATTCCAGGATCTTGAGCTTCCTGGAAAGGTCTTGAGACGAGTGACAAACTGGTGTCAAACCCAGCTCGGAGCGAAACCAAAACCCCGTGCTACAGTCTGGCAAACTTCATCCACGCGCTCGACAGACTTGAGCACGGCCAAGACTAGCCAAGCTCAAATATTCAGCTGCCATTTCGGTCTCCTTCCTCGTATCGAGCTCAAACTTTTGGTGAGGACTCACGGGATCCACTACAATCTGTTGAATCTTGTTTCCGTGGCAGCAGGTAGCGCACAAATAATCCATGATGGAAAATACGCGTTCTGCAGGCTGCGCAAAAAAATCGAGTTGAAATTTGCCGTGTCGAGTCGCATATCTCAACAACCGGTAGTCACATTGCTTCGGCGATTGTTTCTATCGCCAGCTGAGAGTTTTCTTTTGCAAATACATGTTTCGATTGTGAGAATCGACCAAGTATTGAGTGAGTTACGATAGTTTGAATAAGTCACTATGGACTCAACACGGACCCCACGACTATGAGATGCAGGTTCACTGTACAGTGTACAGCGCGCGTCGTACTAGTACGACGGCCGTGGGGCATGCAACTCTTGTGCGTCGTACTAGTACGACGCTCGCGCTAAAGGGGTTAAGAAAGGACAACGCTCCCAAGTTGTTAATTACAGGCCCATCTCCCTCCTACCAACTTTATCCAAGATCTGTGAACGCATCTTCTATGAATCTCTCTACCACCATGTCACCCCTGCCCTCTCCTCTGCACAATCCGGCTTCTGTCGTGGCGACTCAGATACTTTGCAATTGACACGCTTAATCCAGGATATTTACGGACATCGTAACCTGAAGAAGCATGTAGGTCTTGTCTTTTTTGATCTGTCAAAAGCGTTTGATACAGTCTGGCATCGAGGCCTACTTGCAAAGCTTGAGTACATTTTTCTAGTACGTGGTACAGCTCTGCAGTGGCTGTCGTCATATTTGTCGTCCCGTCATCAAACTGTCCGTGTCTCTGCTTCCTTGTCCGATCCTTTACCTGTGGTGTCTGGTGGTCCACAGGGGTCCATACTGGGTCCACTCCTTTTCCTAACTTATGTGAACGATCTGCCCTCTCTAGTTCCAGACGCCAGCCTTTTTGCTGATGACACTGCACTGTTGTGCTCTGACAGCTCGCCGTCCAACCTCGTTACCTCCATGCAGACCGGCATTAACTCCACCATAGCATGGATGGAAGCTTGGAAGCTGAGGCCTAACATCACGAAGACCGAAGCAATGTTCATCAGCCCATCGCCGCCTACTCAGCCGTTGCACTTTCCAGGAGCCAATGCTAACGTTAAAATTGTTCATGAACACAAACACCTTGGTGTTATATTCGACAGCCATATGTCCTGGTCCCTACAGGTCCAGTCAGTATGCAAGCGAGCTAGCTCCTCCCTTGGCATGTTGCAACCTCACTGCCACCATTTAAATGACCATTGCCGAAAATTGTTCTTTACGTCGTATATTCTACCTATATTTGATTACTGTGACACAGCGTGGTGCGGTCTGTCTCAGACCCTTGTTCAAACTCTGGAAATACACCAGCGTCAGCGTTTCGCAAAAATCAAACATTCTCCTCCCATTGTCTCTACAGTTTAGCTTCAGTATCTCCCCTCTTAGAGCGACACCAGCAACATCTTTGCATCCTTGTACACATGATCTTATTAGACCTGGCTCCAAAACACTTTGCTAAGTATAACTGGTTTGTGTCCACCAGATCAACACGTCATTCCTTCTCATTACCCCGTGCCAATACCTCCCTGTTTCTAAAATCTCCTATCTTCTCTGCGTACGCTCTCTGGTCTTCCCTGCCAACTAGCCTTAAAGCATGCACAGACACTAAGGAGTTCAAGCTTCAGCTTCTTCGTCCTAAATAATCTCACCATTTTCGTCATGCCTCCCCTTGCAGTACTCTCTTTGTTTCTCTCCTTATTATTCAGTTCGCCGTGGTTGGCTACCACCCGACTTCTCATATATATTGGCAGTCTTCTGACGAGCCAGGAGATGTTGAATTAATTAATAATAATAATAATAATAATAAAGAGCACTTTTTGCCAGTTTTCACTGAAAAAGGAGCACTTTTTCCGCATATTTTGAGGGACGCGAAAAGCACTAAGTGCCAATTAAAAGAGCAACTTTGGGAAAGGGCTAATCATTACACAAACCATCCACCTGGACACTGGACTTTAATCTATTTTTTTACCATTTCGGTTTCTCCCGCTCGAAACCAATCCTTTCATTGTCATGCAGGTTTTGTTTAAAGAATTTCAACTCGGTCAATTCTCAGCATAATCGAAATAACTACTTAGATGGTAGCAGAGCCGCTCAGTATTCGGCTAAAGCAACTCCGAGGCTTCCGCAATTCAGTTTAAAGCATGTTTTTCTCACGTTCGAAGTTGAAAAGACGCGAAGCGTGAACTCTCCATTGCCCACCCGAGAAAAGAGTATACTCGTCATCAACCCGGAAATGGTCAACCCTTTCCGGTGTCATGAGGAGTATGCTCGTCATGCAGATCCAATCCAGTCTGGGCAATAGAGAGTATACGTTTCACGTTTTTTGAACGCGAGTTGGTCCTCTATCGCCTTAAAATCTTTCGTCGCAACGCAAAGAGCGCCAATTTGACCGTGAGATATCACGTTCCAAATTGAAACAACCTAAAGCGTATTTCAAATTAGGGGGCTGAATTTTCGAGTCACGTCAAAAATAACGTGCAGCTTAGCAAAGCGAGAGGAGAAAATAATGAACACGTTACGCTCTTGCACCAGGCGAATATTCTTGACCTGAATTGGGGCTTTCTCCACTTCACGGACAAACAAACGAGTACACGGTGTCGTGTGGAGCAAATTTCTGCATCTTCACCAAAATATTTGATTGCCTTTGAGTGAAGGTCAATAAGATATGGTTGTGGAATCGATGCCTCGCTTCCCAAGATTGTCGTGAAGCTTCTTTCCTGGTGTAAGGTGTTGGACAACTAAGGATTTCCTTTATAAACTGAGCTCATAGTATAGTTTTCGATCCCGTCGATTTTAGTCTCATTGGAACGAGTAGGATAAACTAGCCAGGAAATATTATAAGGTTTGTCCAAACTCGACCAGTCGTTCAAGAGTTGTGGTCGTTTGAAGTGCGCTTCTTGGCACTTTTGCCGGAACAGTTTTGATGCAAGCCCGTGGCACAAAACCGGGAAATTCAAAACCAGCAGTATCAAGGACATTAGCTGAAGAGTGTTTGTGTAATCTGTGCACTAATGTTTACCTGCGCCAAATTCGCGATTCTCGCCCGACGGTTGTATGTGATCATATATTCCGTCCTGTATTCAGCAATTTTCCTGGCCATGCACCTTTCTTCGGTCCATTGGCATCCGAACAAATCAATATGGCCAACACCTTCGATATGTGTTCATATTGTTTCCATCTAGCTGCAATAATGGCTTTTTATAGTGCAGGTGTCAAATGCCACTGGTTGGCCGTTCTAGGTATACGTACTCGCCATTATGGTACCTCATCAATTAGAAATCAAAGGTTTATGGCAGACGAAAGAGAAGCAAAACTGGGAATAGTCACAAGGTTTGAGCGTATTCTGATTAGCCATATTTCGGTAATTCCAAAAAGTTTGACTCGCGCGGTGTCAAATGACACTGTTGGCGGTTCTACCGTTAGATATGTGAAAAATTGGTTTTCAACAGAACACGGACAAATGCCGCAGGTCTGGATGTACACTTGTTATCACTGGACCACTAAAACATTGTCTGCTTCTATCTTTATGGACCATCATAGCACCTTTATTGGGTAGGGTTTTCACTTACTGTGAGTAATGGCATTGCATTTTGCCTCTTTGTTCCCAGCACTATGTCCAGATCTCAATAACCGTGGTTTCAATTACAAACCTTTTCCCGGTTTCAGCAGACAACCAGGTCCCCCAATACCCATCGAGTGCATAAAAGGTTTTCTGTCTAACAATAGTATGGAAATAACCCAGTCTACATGCCAGGGCAACGGAAGGTGGCAACCAAGTCCACCATTGTGTGAAAGTAAGTCGGTATCTCAAAGCATACCAGTTATGCGTGCACATCTAAATATTAAAGGAATATTCAGTGTCTCCTCCATGCAAACAAACATTCACATTTGGCCTTTGGATTGGAAACCTGTCTGCGCCTTCTAGGTGAGGTCTGGTTTTGTGTTCCTTGTACCAGCCACAAGGAAAAATTTCAAAATTCTGCATATTGCACTTTCTTCAGATTGTAACGTCAGTTCTACTCACCCAATAAAATCATAGTGAATCCAGTCAGCGAAAAGTCTAACAAAAAGGTATCGTTTTGATTCGTGCTCAATGCGTCCATCTTTCACCTTCAGACGTTAAGTGGATCCATTCTGTCTTTGTCTTGTTCACTTTCAGACCATTTGCCGCTAGTGCGGCTTGTTTTGCGAGTGATTTATGTCTGGAACCGCTGGTCGTAGCTCGTCGCGTATTTTTTCTATAGACGGCTAAGAGTTTTCTCATGCACCTGGATATTTGTATTGTTGAAATGGAGCGATTTTGAACAGAGTTACGATCATTTGTAATCCTCCACTTGAGTGCGTCAAATGCGTCGAATTCGACGCATTAATGTACACATCAGCTGATAAAGGCTCAAGATGGATAGAGTGCCGCTCAGGTCCCGGGTTCAAGTCCTGGTAGGGTTGGCGAATTCAACGGAGGATATAACCTCAAGCCGAAGCCCGTTCTCACAGGGGTCGAAGGTATTATAAGACTTTTTTCATTTCTCCAGGTTGCATGTTTGAATGCAATGACACTTATGTGGTGGATTGCAATCATGTACCGGCAGTGGGAATGGCAATGGCAACTGTCAACTGTATTTGTGGACAAAACTTCCAATGGACCATGGGCAAATGTCAACGTAAGTGCATTTTTGTATATAACGTAACCCAGATTCTTCCTGAAGTTGGTTATTCCAACTAGGAACACACGTTTTTTGCCGAACTTGAAACTTGACTGACTCACGACTGCCATCCGGAGCACACGAGGAGCACGTCGTACCTTGCACTCGGCAAACCAAGTTCCTAGTTGGAACAACCAACTTCATGACTAATCTCGCCGAAGTCGCTGCTTCTATGTTCGAATTCTTCCGTTTTAATATACGCTAGAGCTAGGGTCCAGCGGATAATGCTCCGAAAATGTTCGTATAATGCTAACCATAATGCTCCAAAACTGCCTTATAATGCTGATTATAATGCTTCAGCAAGGGATATAATGCTCTTGGTTTGGAACAAAAATGGAAGAAAGTCTGCACATTGTCAAACTTCCAGGAAATTATGCATATCGTCGATCTGCATTTGAAGTTGTCACCTTATCTCTCACGAGCTCCGCCACTTCTTAGCACTATAAGACGTGATCGAATCCATTGATTGCTCCCCATTCCAACTTTGATGCAGGGTTGTGGCAGAATAGTCGGTGTATCAAATCTTTCCCCTAATTATCCATGTCGTAAGAGATGAAACCATTATTGCAGGTATTCATTCATTGTTGGGATGAAGTTAATCTTGGCAAATAGTATTCCTGCCTGCAAACAAGCTCTAACTGCATCCACTCTGTGAATAATGCCTTCACCTGAAACACCAGACGTGAGGCCAGCTCCTGAGATCCGATCTCAGATGGAGGGCCTCCCATTTGCGGAAATCCTGAAAACACGTGGTCAGAAGTTGTTTTGCCACTCTACATCCTTTGCTTGTGCTCTCATCTTCTCCTTGAGATGGTGTGTAGACGTATGGCTTGTCACAATACTCTTCCTTTCTGATAGCATTTGACTGTAGGCCTGGCATTACAACCGTCCACAACTAACTGTACGTGCTTCATCAGGAAAGTAAGACAGGCGCTGCTGAGCAATCGACTTGGTACTGAGTCCATGAGAAATTCTAGTTCTTTTCGAGCCTCCTGAGCTGGACTCGGCAAAGGCAGTTCTTTTGGAACGAGCTCTTTCCGTTTATAGCCACTCCTTAATCCTGGTCCAAATTTAGCAATGCATCAGTGTCTACTTCATTATCGCTAGAGATGCTATCGCCAGAGCCTCTGGCACAACTAGAAGACTCTTCTTCGTCTGTTTGATATGCACTTCGCGTATGTCTCCTCCATAGCTCTCCATTATTCTAAAAGTAAAAGAAAACTCGTAAATAATTTCTCCGGATTTGTGTCACTTGAACTGCCTCAGCCTCGGTTGGACATGCTTCACAAATGGCTTGTATACATTTACCTGACCACATCGCTACAATCATAACGTTTTATGTAGCAATAGTTATGTAGCGTTAGTGCTAAAGGTGTTACGTGTCTACACAATCACAAAGTCATGCGCCAGTACAATGCATAGTGCTCAAATGCCCGGAATGGGAGGAGTGTAGTACGCAAGAGGTACACAAAAGGAGAAAAATAGGGCTGTTTCGTTGTTACTCAGAGTTTTATGGCAAAAACCAATCATCAGACAACATCTCATGATCATGATTGTAGCCGAATGTTGCCAAGAACCTAGGATTTCCCGATATTATCCACTATGAAACTCGTTATGCCGCTCAAACCTCACATAATGCTCGTTTTGTTCCTTTATAATGATCCATAATGCTCTGATGCTCGGATAGTCGTATAATGCCGAATATGATGCCGGCATTATCCGCTGGACCCTAGCTACAGCACGTGCTCCGGAGTTTACAGAAAGCGGGCGTACACGGATGTCGATGTAGATGTTTGTTGTGGAGTATCGTAAGCTAATTGCCTCATGGCATGCCAGGAAGTAGATTATTCTTTGCATTTTGTGACTTAACACCACTTTACTACTGTGACCTGACACCAGCCATGCAGATCCTCAGTAGCTTATATATAGACACATACCCATTCGAATGTACACACTCTCCAGGTCAGGTGTTTTACTTTCACAAAGGGCATCGATATGGTATCAGGCTTGTTATACGATCATAAGAATCGGATCAACATACAGATCACTCAGTTAATGTAGGAGTTCATCTTCTGTGTTGTCTGTTAGTATGCAATGATCTACTTTCTTTCGTACTTTGGTTTGGTTCTGTGCACAGCCACACATTGTCGGGAGTTATTCTTGGCAACTTTGGTGACTATACCCAGGAGTGCTGTTGGTACCAGCATCACTGCATCATGTAAGACTGGTTACGATAACATCTCAATTCCATCTTCAGTGAATTGCCAAGTTAATGGAACATGGACTACACTACCAACTTGCCAAGGTCAGGGAACATGATGACAACATCTTTTTTATTTAACTTTTTATCTTCTTAACTTCTGGCAGTCTAACTGTACCACAGTATTTACTTCGCCTCGAGGTTAGACATTGGGAAGTTGCCACACAGGGTTGTTGAGCGCGTTTTTTGGCACCGGGAATACAACTTGCTCGACTCTGTATCTAATGAGTGAAGAGGACCCACACCTTGATCTGATGAGCTGCGTCATTGGGGCTTTGCTGTCAGATGTGTGACCACCTTATTTATTAATTTTGTCTTTCCGTTACGTCCAAGTAAACACTTACATATTTTGTAGCTGTGTTTTGAAGAGTGGTTGTCAATTGACTAGCCAATGACAAAGGAAATCTGCTCTGTTTACAGACCCCCTGGAGACAGCATCTCCCAAGTCCAGGCATTAAGTGACCTACTAGAGGACTGTCTGTCCAATATTAGTCTTCCCAATTCTGCGATTGTACTTGAAGGAGACTTGAATGCTCGCCACTCTGACTGGTCTCCTATAGACACCACGAATCGTGCTGGAAGGGAGTTCCGTAACCTCTTCTCTTGTTTTGGCCTTGAGCAAATGGTGACATTCCCCACACACTTTACCCCCCATGGCTCAACATCGTGTATTGACGTTGTACTCACGGATCATCCTCACCTACTACTCTCTGTTACAGCTCTTGCTCCTCTTGGTGCATTTGACCACGCACAGATCCTCAGTCACTTCCTACTGCCTACTGATGCTGTTTATCGTGGGGAACCTGCTGCAAACGGACATCCCGCTGCTGCACCCCAATACCACGTCAGGAATGTGCCAGCAAAGCCGGAATATGACTTTAAATCCGTGCTATCTGCCGTCTAGGATAGTGTGAAAGCAGAGCTCGGTGATATTGACTGGAGCTGGCATCTGCGTGCCAGCAACGTCAATAATGCGCTTTCACACTTTTCTTCCTTTCTCAACAGTGCCCTTGAGAAGCACCTCTGGCCATTCGGAAAGCAGCCGTATTCTCACCGCTGCCCACGGCCCAGTCAGCCACCCTGGGTTGATGCCCATCTCAGCACAGCAATCAAGTGGAAACATGATCTCTATAGCATTTTTAAGAAGTACCCAACACAACAAAACAAACAAGCATACCAACAGCAGCGAAATACAGTGAAAACCCTGACGCCGACAAAGTACAGAGCTTATATCCGCTCAGTGCAAACTACTTTGCAGGGTAGACACCGTTCATCGCTTCACTAGTTTGTGAGACAAGCAAGAATTCGAAACGTATCACAGGAAATTCCGTCACTCTCCACAGGGACTCAGGAGGCGGCTGACCCTTTGGCCAAAGCTACCGCATTAAACGCCCAGTTTGCCTCCGTGACTCGGCCAGATGATCCGTTGTTCTCTATTCCCCCTATTCTCACCCCCTCGGAGCCCTCAGCTTGTTTCACGTCCGTCATCACCACAACTGCCACTGTCCGGCGTCATCTGAAGAAGCTTCCGACGTGCGAGGCATCTGGTCCCGACGGCATCCCCAACCGGGTCCTCAAGGCCCTGGCACCATCCATAGCATTCCCTCTGTGCCATATTTTCAACATGTCATTTACCACGGGCATATTCCCTTCCGCATGGAAAGCAGCGAAAGTCATACCTGTACACAAGAAAGGTTCCCGCCACGAACCTGCAAACTACCGCCCTATCTCTCTTCTTCCCTGCGTGTCCAAAGTATGTGAACGCATCTTTTATGATCACTTATACAGACATGTTTCGCTGTTTCTGAGTCCCGCACAATATGGGTTTCGTAAAGGCGACTCCACCTCCCTTCAACTGACCCGCATCGTGCAGCAGGTGTGCCAGCATAGGGATAACAGAGCGCTTGCTGGTATTTGCTTCTTTGACTTGGTCAAGGCGTTTGATACCATTGACCACAGCTCGACAGTCCTGCAAAATGCTCTCGATGCCCTTGTGAATTGGGGCACCAGCTGGAGAATTGCGCTCGAGTCAGCCAAGTCCCAGGCCATGACTATTGACCATCACCGCCCCGCCTGGGACCTCCCAGCAGTACGGTTTGCAGGTGTCCCCCTGAATGGAGAGAGTAACCTCAAGCTTCTTGGGGTAACCTTGGACAGCTAACTTTCCCACCGCTACCACCTCCGTACCCTCGCCATCAGAGCACGCCAGCGTCTCGGGCTCCTGCAGAAGGCCTCGCCGCTCCTGGATTCTCGCAGCCGAGCTACAGTGTACCGTGGGTTTGTACGCCCAGTAATGGAGTACTGCCCATTGGTCTGGATGGGCGCAGCAGATTGTCACTTGCAGCGACTTGACCAGACGCAGCGCTCAGCCCTCCACTTGATTGGCCCCGGCGCAATGCTGCAAAGCCTGTCTATCCGGCGCATGGTAGCTGCGTGTACCTACATTTACAAGCTACTGTGCTGCAATCCTACCAGCCCACTTCGTCAACTCTTGCCTCCCTCTCAAGCCCGACCAGCCCATGTTCGACCCACTCGTATCTCTCTCGTCCGTCTCGACATGCATAACTACCAGCTTGAGACAGGGCTACCTGTCAATAGCCGGGAAAGTTGCCGTAGAGCTTTCCCCGCCTGTGCTGTCACTGTATGGAATGCCCTGCCACCCGCCGTCCTCAGCCAGCCACCTGACCGGAAACGGCTGCAAAGTTTCAAAGTGTCTGTCTTCCGGCACCTCCGTGCCCAGCAATGGCACTGGGCCAATGACACTTTGTAAGATGTATGCACATCTGCCCATACACTGCTGCATATTGCCATACGCCTCGTGCCCTGCTTACTCTTTTCTCTGGATCTGAATGTGCACCCCTTACGCATTATATAATTATACTTTATTTAGTTCTCTCCCCCTCTCTTGCCCCCAACCCTCCCCGCTCGCTCTCTCTCTCCCTCTCTCTCTCTCTCTCTCTCTCTCTCTCTATCTATCTCTCTCTCTCTCTCTTTCTCTCCCTCTCTCTCCCTCTCTTTCTCTCTCTGCTATTGGCGCGCCTGGTTGTGATGAAGCCGAGACCCAAGGTCGGCAGAGCATCCCAGACCACTCCACCACTCCCCTTATTCATGGCTCACACATGACGGGTTTACGTGGCTCTAGTAAAAAAATAAATAAAATAACGTCTGGCATCGAGGACTTTTGGCTAAGCTCGAGCATGCATTCAGGGTACGTAAACAACCACTCTCCTGGCTGAAATCTTATCTCTCTGGGCGTTATCAGTACGTAACTGTGCTTGGCACATCCTCGGCTGCAGAGCCGGTATCGTCAGGCGTTCATCAAGGATCAATTCTTGGTCCCCTACTTTTTATAAGTGACGTAAACGATTTACCTGCAGTCTTCCCTGGAACGTCTCTGTTTGCTGACCACACGACCCTTCTCACCTCATCGCCTTCCATCACTGGCCTGAAACAAAGCTTGCGTGCTGGCATTCAGGAAGTTCTTTCCTGGATGTCGTCCTGGAGATTGTCCCCAAATCTATCAAAACCAAAGATCATGCTCTTCCCGCCCCAGCCAGAGTTCACAACCCTCACCCATGCCAACTTTCCAAATCCAATTGACATAGTGTCTTCTCACAAACACCTTAGCATTGTGATTGGCTCTGCACTCTCTTGGGTACCCCACATCGACTATATGAAACATCAAGTAAATCCTTAGGAATTCTCTCCCCCCACAGCTCCTACCTCCCACTTTCTTGCAAACTTCATTTTTATTTTGCCTACCTTCGCCCGATATTTGATTATGTCGATACGTCTTGGGTTGGGTTTTCACCTTCTGCTGCTGCAAAGCTTGAAATACACCACAACAAAATCCTTAAAATTCTCCTCCGTCAACCCCGCATGCTCTCATCATCCGCCCTTTATAAAATCGCTCACACTACCTCGTCATCACATCGACGCAGTGCACACCTTCCTTCTCTTGTCCATTCCATCAATTAAGCTTGAGTTGTGCCCGCCTCATCTCATGTGTTTTAATTGGTTCTCTTCTATAAGAACTAGAAACTCGCTCTTACTCCCTAAGTGTAACTCATCCACTCTTTTGCGCTCCCCTCTCTTTATTGCTTATTCTGTTTGGCTCACTCTACCCAGAGAAGTTAAGGATCTGACCTCACTCCGCCTGTTTAAAATCTGTGCCGCCCCTTATTTACTACGACATAAATAGTTCATTATCCACATGTCCTTTGCGGTTTCCGTATTTTTCAGAGTTTGTATTTGACATTATCTGTCTTTACGGAGTTGTTGTTGCTGTTCATTTTGCTACTCTTTCTTTTTCCCTCCTGTAACGGAATCACAGCCATTCCGTTCCCCGGGACGCAGGACACAAAGGACAAGACTGGTTTGTTTTACATAATATATTTGGACATTACGGAAAGGTAGACTACTCTGACAGAGACTGACAAAAGGACTCTCGACTACAACATCGCGCATGCTCATATCACACATGCACGCGACTAGACGAGACAGTTTGGGGAATGCCATCACACAGGAAAACTACACATCATTTTACAACACCTGCCCCCTTGATGACATTCCACAAAATAATAAACCGACACCACGTTCCACATGCACAACAGCAAAAGGAACCACAGCAAAACAGAAAAACCAAAACCAACCAACAGCTTACATTGTAGCACAACAAAACTGGGCCACGACACAGGGCCAAACCAAGACACAAGAGCCGACGCTCTCAACCAAGCCGCACCACAGGGCCAAACCAAAAAACACAAGAGCCGACGCTCTAAACTCAGGCACACAAGGCCAACCGAAACACGAGAACCAAAGCTCCAACAAATAACAACATGCGCGCAGCAGCGCAAAATAAATCTACAACGCAAATTAATGCAGAACAGAACGACGAGAAGAGCAACATACCGACAACCAAACTCAACAACACAGCAACGAACTGAACAGCGAGAGAAACACGATCAGACAACACAGCGAGCAAGACAACAACAAGACGAACAACAAAGGACGACACACAGTCGGTGATGCTAGACTCATCCACTGGCCTCTGGCGAGCCACGGCCACACGCTCCATGCGGTACCTGCCGTCCCAGGCTCCAGTCCCCAGCTTCTGCCGGTCCACCACCTTCTCTGCCTTCTCTCCGCGTCTTCTTCCGCTTCCACCAGCTCCTCGTCTCTCCTCCATCCCCACGCTTACTCTCTAGTTGTACTATTACTTGTATTAGTTGTTGACGACGACGAACAGACTCATGACAAACTTACTCATCCTCTGCGTCCCGGGTTTCGGCACCACGTTGTAACGGAATCACAGCCATTCCGTTCCCCGGGACGCAGGACACAAAGGACAAGACTCGTTTGGTTTACATAATTATTATTGACAATACGGAAATGGAGACAACACTGAAAAGGACGAACAAGAAGACTGACAAAAGGACTCTCGACTACAACATCGCGCATGCTCATATCACACATGCACGCGACTAGACGAGACAGTTTGGGGAATGCCATCACACAGGAAAACTACACATCATTTTACAACACTCCCCTTACATTTATTTATCGCCGTGGTTGGCAAACACCCACTCTCTTAACATTGGCCGGTGTTTCCACCGAGTCTTGAGATGTAATAAATATAATGTAATAAATATATTATATAAAGATAAATAAGTTAAGAGTCATGACTAACAGTCCACCAAAGTAACAAGATGCTATACAATTAGATATTGCGACGAAATTGTACAAATCCGACATGGATATGGAGACATTCAGCGACCTGATACCTAGCTCTAACACACGTACGAAGCACAACCCAACAACCTTCCAAGTTAGATGGCTCAAGTGCGAAAATAACCAATGAGGGTGATACGCCACGAAGATATGCACGAACTACGTCCCCCGGAAACAAAGGATGTCAGAAGTTATTGGTTGATGATGACGGGACTAGCAACACCATCCGACAAACCTGTCTTACTTCAACTCGGAAAAGCAAGCCAAGAGCCCACCCAACTTGGGAGGCTCAATGGTATGCAAAATATGTCAAGAGGGGAAGCCAAGCGAAGGCAAATTGTCACAAACATAAAGTCCTTATCCTATTAAACTCCATGTTGATGTAACGATGTTGGCCAGGTTTGGTCCAATAACAAGTGGTTCCACGTGACGTACCTTTCACAGTATTGCTGGTCACGGCTCATCAGGTGTGCCTAATAAAAACTGGGATTTTGAGCCAAGAGTAGTAATATGTAAAGAGAAAAGCACCTATAAGTAACCCTATAAGTTACTAGTTATGACTAACAGATAGTCTTAGGTATGTAAGTACTTACTTGTGCAGGTGTGTGCAGCACTCCACAACTGGTGTTCTGCCAGCTTAACCATGCAGCAACAGTTCAGCATTGTTGTCGCTCAAATACTCCCACTTCTCTTTACTCGGTACCATCACAGAAAATTGACGACATGACTACATTGGGAATTACTGTAATGCCCAGGCGACAATCCAACCTCAACTGGACATGACATATTCATGAGGAGGTCTGATGTTAAACACACCCAGCATCATGTGCACGCACTAGCAACACGTACACATGACGAACCCTATACAGTGCAATGTACTAAACAGTGCTGTCCTTGAGCGTGCTCTGAAACGATTTCAGTACTAGGAGACAGAAACAAGATACATTTGAATGCAAAGCACCTCGATTGAAAATCCTCAGGTTTTGGTGGAACATGTACCGAGTCATTCAGCTCGTAGCATGGTCATCAGAATGGAAGCCATGTTAACCATTCCCTTCACCTTCCCCCTCCTTCCCCTTGAGTTGCTCCACATCGAGCAGCATGACCTTCAATGCTCAAGGTGACCCTTGCCCTTCAAGGTAACACCAATTGGTTCCATGCTTTGATTATCTGCGACAAGGACTCATTCCGGATCTGCTTTCCCCTTTCCTGCACACGTGTCACTGTTGGAAAAACTGCGAACGGAACCACGGAAATGTCTACGGAGCGCTTCTCCATCGAGACTGCTCCATGTATATCAGGCTTAGGTCGATATTTGCTTTGGTTGACTCACATGTAGTTGCGATATAGATTTTGAGGGTTGAGTTCGTCGAAGTAGTACTAGTTATAATTGTCTATAATGTATCTGTTTGTGTGCTGGTGTGGCGTGCGTGCATTTTGCTCTGTACTAATTTGCAGTTACTTTTATGGATCCAACGGCTATCACGGGTACGTTCTAGTCTGTCGTTTGCCTTGCTCTGCACTTGTACTGAGTGCACCAATGACTGCACAGAATTTTGAAAGCACACTATAATCAACGGAAACAAGGAAACAGCAGAGCACAAGTTGGACTCCACCAACTAAACCAGGTTTTGAACAGTCCTTGTTTAAAACTAGTATAGTATCTGGCAATTATTAGATTACCCTAATTCAGAACATGGACCTCGCAATGCTCGAGCTTTCAGCACTCCACACACTGGCGCAGCCACTCTCAATCGAGAATTGGAACTCGTTACCCCGCCCGGACCTTGTCTCCGTCAGGACTTCTTCGGAATTGGAACGCATTCTCCACATCATGGCTCTCCAGGAATGGATGTGCTGATAGGCACAATTAACGATCTGTCTACCACTATCTCCACTCTAACTGCGGAAGGGGTCTCTCAGCAAACAGACAGAGATCGAGTCATAGCATGCATAAAGACAACAGTTGATGAAGTCACAGCAGTAGTTCTCCAACTCGAAGAGGGAGCGAGTCGATAGCTGCAGATTGTAACACCCCCAACCGGCGCAACCGTGAACATCCCTGGGGACCCTATACCCGCCCGATGATATACTCCAGAGTGGGATTGCATGGTACACGTTTTTTTTAGAGTACATAAACTACTCCGTGAATAAGATAAATAACGAAACAATATTGTAACATTGAAAAATGTGACCACAAGTTATGCGATCGAGTCCGTCAACTAAACCAGATGTTGAACAGTCAGACGTGCATAATCTATCACATAACAAGGAGTACTGAGACATTCCACGGCGTGAAAATCAGCTTGAGCACTCCTGGATAGAGATAGCCAGCGGCCTTCCAACTTGGAAGGTTCATGGATATTAGTGCAAATTCTAGTCTGAAAGGTTAGCTCCATCAAGTTGATCCCAAACTGCACATGATTCAAAGTCGTCATGGAATGCTTGGTTGGTGTGATAACGGTACATCAAGACCAGATAGAACGGTCAAACCACAATTCGAAAACGCAAAGCCGCCACCAACCGACTTCGGAGGCTGAATATTATCAGAGATGAAAAATTAATATGAAGGCGAAGCGGGAAAGACCTGTAGCAAACCAAGTCGGACTGTTCAAAATTTTGGACTCGATTGCATAACTTCGATTAACTTGGGCCCATATTCTTCCATGTTATAATATTTTCCTTGGCTCATCATCAGAGTTCTTGACAAAATGAATAACTTGGTGCTAATAGAAGAAAAGAAAAAATAACACCCAAAAGCGTTACAGGTAAATACAAACAGAAGAAAATATTACCAGTAAATATCATCAACCATATAACGCTAAATTTGCATTTAATAATTATTTAAATGATAGCAAAAACCGAGTGAAAGAAAGAAAAATACAAACAAAAACAAAATATACTGAAAACATGATTAAAAGGAGAATCATTTCAGGCCAGTGCACACTCCACAGCGACCAGGTCGGCTGAACAATGCTGAACGATGGCAGAATTGCGTGTCTATGACCAAGTATGGCTGCTGTTGTTGAACGGATGAGGGCGAAACCCAGCTTTGCCCCGAGAAGAAAAAGGGTCGAAGAGAAAGGCAGAAGTGATTTCTCCGGATTTCTCCAAAGCTTCAGCCAAAATCCCGCGAATTGGGCAGCCTTGCCTTGCCTTGCCCACCAGTGCAGCTGAGGACAATGGGCAACTTTTTTTTTTGGAGTCACCTTGTTCAAACGCACGTACGTGCACTTACATGGATCGCCAGTTTATCTACATTACATCATTTCCATCTTTAGCTCAAGACACCGCTGATCTCGGTGTAGGTTTTCTAACCGGGACTTTCCCTGAAAGTTCAGGGAAATCACGTTGTTCTTGACCTACGAAATCTGCCATTTGGGCGCGGGGCACGCCAGAAATCTGCCCTTGTAGGCCGATTGCTGGTCACTCCAAGTGACCTTGACGATATGCTCGACGGTAATTCCTTGCACTCCGCAGTCTATGTCGAGCATCAGCATTTGAACTAGCCATGGTTACAGTTGAACCATGTTCGTATTGGGGTATGTCAGTGTAAAACAATTGCATACCTGTTCTTACTGGAAGAGAAAACATCCTAAAGGATTTCTTGCTAACGCAATACTGCTAGCGCTATAACCAAAGTCTCTTCCAGTATAATACCTAAGGTCGAAATGAATATGGGCGAAGATTCACTGGTATACAAATCGAGCTGAAGCCGTCGTTTCTATTACCAGTGAATATTAGGCCATATTCACGAGGCTGAAGGCAGTATCATGCAGATTTAAACCTCTCCATATTCATCCTTCATGTACATGTACATGTACGCAGAACTAACGGAAGTCGTAGTTTCTTCACTATCCCAAACCGACTGGCATGTTCTTGCATGGATCTGAGAGCGATGGGCTACTTGTTGGGAACTATCGTGTTCGCGCACTGGTGCATGTGCCACGGGAGGTGAAGACCTTGGAGAACACGCTCCCGCCAATCGACCTGGAAAACACGCTTGTGCTTGACGGGAGTCAATAATAGTCCGTTTCCATGCGTAGATTTGGCCTATCCGCAAGCATCGTGCCAATCCTGGAGTCGGTTATATATACAGCAGCGAGCCAAGTGATTCTACCCTCAATTATTTCCTTATCAGGCAGCGCACCAGAGGTGTTGTGTGCCCTAGGAACGTTCTACGCTTAAGTCCGTAAACAAGACTTTTCTGAGTACAAACGCAATTCCTTGCTTGCTGCTCGATCCGCCATCCATCTACATGTCGAGCGTCCAAAACCTTTTTTGCTCGCAGGAACTATGAAGATGCTCAATGTCCCAAAGTGTTTTCCGATAGCTGGTCACCTGCAGATCCAGCGGCCAGCAAGGAAGTCCGTTTGTATTCAGAAAAATCCTTGTTCCGGAAGTTGGCGTAGAACTTGTCTAGGGCACTCGCCAGCTCCAGTGCGCTGCCAGAAGAGAAATCAAGCGCAGCACGAAGCAATGCTCTCTTTGCAGTAAGTATCGAAAAGTGGTGAATGTAACTGGCGAATATCGAGCAACATTCACCACTTACGTAGATGGGCAATTGCATGTGGGTGGATATGGAATGAGGTATCAGAAGCATTGCATGTGGGTGGATATGGAATGAGGTATAAGAAACATTTTCATGTGCATGTACATGTTTAATGCTTCTTACCTCCTCCATCATGGTCCTTTCCAAATAGCGCATCAAAAAACGATCGTGATCGTGTGCATTGTGACGTGTCCAGAAGCCATTATTCCAGGTCATGAAGCACCCGATTTCATCATTGGTCTTGAAGAACAATTCAAAAACGGCACACAAAACTTCAGTCACTTTAGCATCAACTGTCGCACGGAATAATGTTGGTGGCGCAAGGAACAGCTTGTCGTATGGAGTGACAAGTGATTACCTCTGCATTTCCTTGTCAGAGTCAACAATACAGGGTTGGGGTAGTGGTAGAGCAGAGTTTGTTGATTAGACGTTGTGGAGGGGCGAGCGTAGCTAAGCACGTGTGAGTTTGGACGTGTTTCAGCGTAGTGGTTTGGAAACATTCAAAGATATGATGTACATGTAGGGATGAACAACTGAAAAATAGTTTACGGACACATGTACAATATTTAAATGGGTGGCGTTGTGACTGATGAAGTGCTTGTATGCTTCAATTTCAGTCGTGAGTCAAATCGGTCATGTTTGCATTGACTCTTCTACGCACATGCCAAAGTCTACATGCCTCCGGACAAGCAAGACAGCAACAGGCTTTGAGGACGACCAGTTTAGAATAAAATATTACATTGGAATTTTAGAAACCAACAACTCTGAAAAAGACCTAGCTCCGAATACAAACTTCCAGGCCAGAGAAGCATGCGCAGTCAGCTGGCTACGCTACTCGTACAACAAAACACGTGATATATATGGATGCAGGTGTCGTGTCATCGCACATGTAAGAGCGAGAAAAGAATTGTTTAGCACGTGTCGCACACAGCAGAAACTACAGTACAGTGTACTGCAATGGAAGGAAGTGAATCATGCCATGACAATAATAATACAATGCATTTCAGGGAGTGCAACATACATTCTGAACAGTCAGTTGGCAGGAAGACACGAGTTCCGATGCGAGAAGCAAAACCTTTCCTACTCAACACTATTACTGTTTCCATTTTATGCCATTGGCAGCCAACATGAGACATTCACAGTGAAAACACAGAACTACCAACTTTTATGGTAGACACGAAACACTGTTTTACTTCAAAATGGTGAAAAGCCATAAATGTTGTTCACGTTGTACGAAATCATACAAAGTGCCGCTACTGGTGGGGTAGGATGATACAATTACCTCTAATCACGCCTTTTTTGGTTCAATGGCGTACTAATGTGGACATGAATACGTTGTATGCCATATGTGGGCCTGCCTATGTTACTTTACATCTCGCAACCAACACGACACATGTGACCAGCGGTAAGTGTAGTTTGATTTCTCTAAAATCTACTGCATACTTTTTTATAGAGGGATTTCAAGCTCTAAATAAATTTGATATGGAGCATGTTTAACACTTCATGGTGGTGATTGCGCCATTGCAAGTCGAATTGGTTTGGTAATTTCGAGGTGCTAGGCGAAGTTGAAACCGTTATGGTTGAAATGGCGATTAAGAAATAAACTAAACGCAATATACTGAGTCAGCACAAGTGTCATTGCTCCATAGCCGACCTTCACAGTCAATGGTTGTACACATGCCACCTCTAAACTCCACCGTGTGTTTATCCGTGGAAACAGGGCAAAATCAAACTCCCTCACCCATCCAAACCGAAAGCACTCTTGCATTGCGACTTTCCTCCAAACATTGGCGTACATGTATGAGACTCGCAAGGACCATGTCTGGAAATGATTAAATATGTGTGCAGGTCTATTTCTCTCACGGTTGCAGAATCATCTCTTCTGGAATTGCCTTTGTACTTCCTCCTCGTCATCGAAATTGTCGCAGTTTGACTAGTGACTTGTCACTTGTTACTGACAACTCCATAAGCTAAGCCATTCAAAACTTATTACAGAGTATGATAGTCTGAAGACTAGAGCAAAGTTCCAGGACAGTTGGACTGAGAGTGTTCATGCAGAGATGAAGTCCTCGTCGTCGCTGATGTCAATGGACGCAAAAATATCGTTCCAAAATATTTCAAGGAAGGTTGAAAAGTTGGTTGCGCCTCATCTCAAACGCTTTGACTTTCTCCGACAGGACAAGAGCTGCTATGCTTGTCGTCTGCTAGCTCTCGACGATTTCTACTTCACCACCAATGAAGCCTAGTAAGAATACACGATCGTTGCGAGGACCGTGAGTTGATTACCGTCGGCGGAATCACCTCGATCTTGAAATGAACTTTTTTTAGCCGTGGCATGCTCATTTATTTTAGCTGTGTGGTCACAGTTCATGCAGGTAAGTGTTCTATCGGTACATCATGTCCAGCGCGCCCTCTTTGTCAGCATCACTGGTACGGCACCTGCGCGTGCATCACCAGCACTACGTGTAGAGTCTACACGGCTCTTGCAGGTACAATCATGTACTGAGTGTCCCAGCCAGAGCGACAAATTTTATCGCTGTTGCAGGCATTTAGTTTGCTGACCCCTCGATGTTTCTCCAAGCGCTGCCACTTGTTCCACGTAGTAATTCTCACCCCAGCTAAGGTAAAACAGTGATGAGTCTTGAGTGAATGGCCATAAGCACGAGAAAATTGCAGGCTGCAACGCCTGACTAATCTCAGCGAGTCGAAATTACCATCGCAGCGACATCAGCGAAGAAATTGTGTCTAATTCAAAAATTCCAGCTTCCAATAACAGGAAATAGAACTTTGCCGTCACCCTATACTGATGACTATCGCCTATGTCCGATTCCTTGCCTCTGGAACGAGTGCTGGTGAGTAAATACCCCGTTTTATATCAAAAGTCAAACTGCGACAATTTCGCTGACGCGGAGGAAGTACATTTTCAATCCTTTTTATAGTAATCCTCCCAGTTCCTACTGTTTGGAGCTCAAGGGTATGAGCTTGGGTCCTCGATGTCTTAGAAAATCCCACTGCCGAGGAATTTTCGAAGGAACGTCTGATGTAAGGAGGTCTGACTCGGAACCATGAAGATATCTGATAACTATGCCATGTGTGTCCGTTTTTTGAACATTTTTTTGTCATCCCAGCAATATCAGCTACTTCAACTCTATCCTACACCACTACTGGCGGTACGTACAATATGATATGTGTTCGCGTGGTCCATATATGCTAGGTACATCCATAGAAAAGTGTTTCATTTTTTCGCCAGTCTAAAATTATCTTCATCGAGCCTAAACAGGAAGAACAAGAAAAAAAAAAAAAAAAAAAAAGGTTCTGAACAAGAATTTTTCCTCAAACCAATGAAAACAATTAAGCCTAATCCAATTTTCACCATCTGCTGCAATCGCAGATTTAGCATACGGATAATGAGATTTGTTAAGTTTCTGAACAATGTGGTGACTCCAACGCTGCATTCTTCAAGTTCATGGTGGAGAAACTATGGGTAAAGTACAGGGGGCGATATAGTGATAAATAGTATTGCAACAGAGAAAAACAAGATCCCTTCCCAAGCGAGTCAACTAAAGTTGAAGACAAATGTTTAGGAAGGCCAATGGTTTATGAATTCAAGAAGAAGGGACTTGTTTGCTTTGATCGCGGTGACCAAAAACGACGTCTCATAGGATTTTCACAAATACATTGACATATTGAAATCTCGCAGGGTCCGCGTTCTTGCTGCGGAGGTCCCATTGTACTGGTCTTCCATTTTTATCCATGCTTGCATTGGCTCACCATTGGAGGTCAAATTTGTAGATCTATAATAAATTTTCTTATTTGAACTCGGCAGTTGAGCCAACTTCATACCTCGTAACATGTTGTCCTTCTCCGATTTGCCATACTATTTCATGTGTGTGTACCAACTGTTACACCACGAATATAGTGATATTACGTGTGCCATCACATTATCACAAGTATTTCACACTGTGTCCAGTAGTCTCTAGCCATGGTCCCTGTGTTTGCGAGTATGTGGAAAAAGGAATACCTTGCTTGCGACGAAAGTGCAAGTTGACCATAGAGCTGTTTTAAATCCCCAAACTCGTTTTGTTGACAGCGCATGTATCTGTAGATAATGGAGCATTCAATGTACTGTGTTTTGTCGACTACAGCAGACAGTCAAACCTCATCGTTATACATCCTTGGCACAGTGATCGGCGCTGGTATTGGCGGGATATTAGTAACGTTGGTGGCCGTAATAGTGTATCGAAAGATGCAAAGCAAAGCGGTGCAGACTGAAGTTCCGAGTCAGACACAAAATGCAGCATACGAAGACGCTGATATTGCGGAGAGTTCCCTCACCAAAAGTGATGCTTACGGTGTTGTAGAATCCTCCCCGCAACCACAGCCTGAATATATCTGCCTTCATTAACTGATTAGGCACGTTTTTCATTCGCCTCTGTACTTTGGGCCGCTTTTCCTCAATTCTCTGATTCCGTAAAGATTCCCTCGGAATACATTATTCCATTTCTACCCTGGTGCATTTTGATTCCGGCTAGATTTTCAAAATTAACCTTTCGCATTTCCTCACACTGTCGCATTCTGTACCATTTTCATATCATACCTCCCCAGACGCATTGTGTTCCTTAGGGTCGTTTTTCCGGGAATGTGCAAGAATAGTTCACCTATCTTTCTATTTCAGCTTTCTTTCGTTGCAGTTCACATATATGCTTCAAACTAACATTATCCTTAGGGGAACCCACAGCTCTTCCTTAGCGAGCCTCATTGTAACACTAAAACTATTCACCCTATACGTACAAGAGATCTCCTGTATTCATCCTCTGCATTAATAATTAATAATATGTCCCACGGATCGCCGAAGTCGCACCAACCTCTTCTTCACATTGTACCGCTGGCTTTTATCTAGGGCTATACGTGATGAATTAGTACGTACTGTTCTCACTGAAGTGATTTGTAATGTTGTTCTCTCTACAACATTCTCCTTTTAACTGCATGCACCTCCTCGCCTCGTCCTTATCTCTGATATTTTGTTCACAGAACACCTCCAAGTATCTCAATTTCAGATGTGTTTCGTCCATGTAAGGCCAATGATTCATCGCGCTGCTAACACATAAAGCTGTGTGAGTATTTTTGCTTTCGTTAGTGTTTTCTTCTAAAATGATGCTCATGGTGGGATAAGACAGTGGACAGTGGGTGGGTTTACTTTCGTTCAGCATGTGCTGGTTATTGATATCAGTATTACACAATTCTACCTTACCTGTGGTGTATAATAATATATGAGGCCAGAGTTGATATCAGTGCAAAGTATATTAGACTAAAGGGACATGTGGCTAGCATACGACCAGAACAGATTTAATTCGCGTGCACAGCCAGCAGTGGAGGATACACAGAAACGGAAATATCTCTCCATTTTTGTCAGATGTTGATGATGTGCGAGTGGTTCATGTATCTGATCAAGTGGTTTGTGTAGGAAAGTATGTAAAGGACACAACCTACAACAAGGATGAACACTACCAGTCATCTGGTTGCACCACTGGGCATTTTAGCCTATTGCCAGACTTGAGTTCCAGATTAGCATTTGTAACTACAGCTGTACTCTAGGATACAAACCAAGCAAGCAAAACAGACTAGAACCTTTACGGCGCTTTAACACTGGAAAAAATGTAAACGTACACGCCAACTATCCTAACAGCCAGCGCTTTCGACAAATCTCATCAGCCGAGGGGACTAGAATGGTTTGAGCTACTTAAAGTACGAATCATATCAGAGAATATCCAAGTATGTGTGGAATTTGATGTCTCCGATTTGGCTGAAAATTTGCAGTAAGGCTCCTTTTGGAGCCTGGATCGACTTTGCAAATCCAGCGAGAAGGGTTCTGAAGAGAACCTTGCAACTTGCATACCCCTCGTAAATGGCCGAAAACTCACATCATTTGTGGTCTACAAACGAGTCACGCCACAACGTACATGAACAAGCTACGAATAAAACTCCATCAAGCCAACTGTGGTTCACCATGGAAGAGTTCCTGGAGCAGTGCCACTTAGCCACGCAAGCATCCCAGAAGACGAGGGCCATCACCCCCTAAAGCCACACGTGATCGTCTTGAAAATAGCCAAGTTACAAGCGCTGATACAACAGCCAGCTATGTCCCCGATTAGCAAAAACTTTACACCGGCAGATAGTAGAACACCTCTTCTAGCAGTGACGATATGTCCCCCATTTTCGTTTTTAGGTGTTCTTGAAATAAACTTTTTTGAATTTTTCAACTCCACCAACTTTAAACACGTCCAAGGTTGACACTGGCCACAAGTCTGGTTGCTCAGCTGAATAAGCTGGGTGTGCCAATGAAGACCATGGAAGACCTTTCCAGGTGCCGACAACAAGCAGCAGACAAGACAGACTGGAGGAAACTGTGCAGCTCGACACCCGGCGAGAAATCGGTATCAGCAGCTACTACACCTAGCTGATGATGCTCACAAGACAGAAGCGGAAAAAACACTGAATTTCTTTATTTAGTGCTCTACTACGCGAAATGTGCTATTATTATTATTATTATTAAATTCATACCTTCGCAAATAAACTCGCCCCTTCGCGACGTCTCCTCGGCAATTTCTGCTCCAGCACTACTCCTACTGGCGCAGAACTAAGTGTATTGTGGACTCTGACAAGGAAAAGCAGCCATGATCACTTGTAACTCCAAATTAAAAACCTTCTTCTTCCACCTTCAGAATTTTTGGGCGAGTGTTGATGCAAAAGTGACTTGAGGCCTGAGCGAAGACCCTTAATTTTAGTGCAAGAGGCACTGTGAAATCATGTGCCCCATGAAGTGGAGTGACGCGTCCGGCAACACGACACGAAACAATCGATCACGATCGTGCATGGCCCGCTACTCTGAACTACTGGTATCTCATACAAAACTGTCCGAAAGTAGCTTTTAATTTCTATAACTGTAGACTCCAGGGGTCAGTGATAGATGGTAACCTGTCCGTATGAACACAATTCCCACTCAGCTGTACTTTGACTTGTGTTCCTGGGGCGCATTGAACAATTGATCCTGCCACTGTTTTCAAAACGTTCAACGTTCAAATCTCAACTTGCGCAACTTTCTAGCGCACTTCCTCATTTTTCGTGTGCCTTCACTCTCCGTTTACTCCTTTCCAGAGTAGCAATAGATCTACGGTACTTCCTCCGGAAACAAACACTTCGTGACTTTTTCACTTATTTCCGCTGTTGTTCTGGTAAGCGGACAGTCATCGCAAGGCAAAGCTGGCGTGCTGGAAACCAAGGGAAGCGGCTATGTTTTGTACTATTGTCCACCAGGCATATTGCCAACAAAAGTTTGCGCTCACTGCTCGTCGTTGCTAGTTTATGGTTCAGAATGAGGAAGAGCAGGACAATAGAAGTGAGGAGCAAGAAGAGTGTGAAAAGGATAACAGCTAGAATTTTGAAATATGCGTCATCCCAAAGAACACAAGCCAAAGTGCGAACAGGTCGTCAAGGTGTATAAACTCCAAATGCAAATATGTGACACTCAGGAAAGCTAAAAATTTCCAAATCAAAGTCGTCGTTCAGTGGAAGATCTTGCCTTTTTCAGCAGCCTCCACTGCGATGTCTCGTTGGTAGCGTAGGAGGACAGGCGAGATCTCCTCGCAGCGGTCGTGACGTCATGGGACGACTACAACGCGGAGAGAACTGAGAAGTGTTTGGCTTTTCCTGTACAGGTAAGCGTCGTTCCGAGGCATTCTCGAGAACCAGGTTGACACCAGAGTACCAGTACCATCGCGGTCTCCACCTAGATTCTAGGGAAGGCACCAGTGTAAATCACGTACTAGTAATAGCAAAGACGACCAAGGGAGCTGAGACGCTGCTCCGTGACGTGCGAAAACGAGTCGATCCACCTGCACTTTGGTTGGTTCCAGCCGTGATGAATCGAGCGATGGCGACGCAGTCTGAGACTCTATTCCCATCAATTGATTTTGTAGGTATTGTCCATTGAGCATCTTGAAGTGTTTCTCTTCCATTAGAACACTTTTTTTGAGGACAGTAATCCCTTGAAACGTCATGAGAAAAAGTCACGAAGTGTTTGTTTGCGGAGGACGTAGTTGTGTTATGTGCATTCGGTTATTCGTTCACTGAAGTGATGCAGGATGCGTGCATGCAACAGGTTACATTCACGGTGCAAAGTAGCAATTCAGAGTAGGAAAGGGTTTAGAGTTTGTTGTCAATTTTTTTGGTAGCTTTTGGCATCTGTTTAGGCACAAGGACTCCCTCATGCTAGGTTCTGATGTTAGCAACTTACTGCCTCCGGAAATAAAAACTTCGTAAATTTTTTCATTACTTTTCGCTGCTGTTATTTCGCTCTTTCTCACTGGTTCTGTCACCCTGAAACACTGATATGACATTTTGAAATCGTAGGAAAGCATAATTCATATTCTGGAGAGCCGACAGTCGTCGCAGAGCAAGGGTGTTGACGTTGCAAACAAAGCAAAGCGCATGTCTTTTTTTAATTTTCGTCCACCAAACGCAATGAGAAGAAACGCACTGCGCTCACTGCTCTTCGTTGCTATGTTTTAGTTCAGAACTTAACAGAGCAGGACAATGGAACCTAGGAGCAAGAAGAGTGGAAAATGAATAGCAATAGCAGCTAGCGTTTTGAAATCTTCGCCATCCCCGTAACGCCTGTCGGCATGCGAACAGATCGGCACGATGTCAAAAATATAAAACGATGTCAAAACTATAAAACGATGTCAAAACTATAAAACGCAGCAGAGCAAGATGAACAAGTTCAAAATAGAAGTCAACGCTCAGCCACTGCAGAGCCCAGATCTCAGCGTGGATGATGTCGCCTTTTCCAGCAGCCTCGACGATGTGTCCTTGGTCGCAAAGGAGAACAGGCGAGATCTGATCGGGGCAGTCGGGAAGTGCTGGAACGACTATGATATCCCTCGGAGGAAATTTGAAATGTTTGGCTCTGCCTGTGTTTGTCCTCGAGTGAGAGCGGAGGCGGTAATGAGTACCAGCGCTGCAGCGGTACCGTGGTCTCCGCCGAGATGTTGGAGAAGGCATTCAGGTAACAACTAAGCCGATCAGGGACGCGGAGAAGCTTCTTCGCGGCATACGACATCGCGTCGATCGACCTGCCACTTGGACCGGTTTCAGCCATGATGAGTCGAGCGATGGCGACCCAGACCGAAACTCTACTCCCACTAATCGATCCTGATGATACTGTAGATATGTCCATTGAATGTGTTGAAGTGTATCTCTTGCAAAAGAACACTTCTTTTGAGCACAGTAACTCCTTGAAAGGTCATGTAAAACAGTCACGAAGTTTTTGTTTCCGGAGGAAGTATGAGCCTTTTTTGGCAGCTAGCTGGCCTCTGCGTACACCCCCCACACACAAGAGAAAGATACAGATCACAGTAGTAGTGTGGTCTTTGTTCACTCACGGTGGAAGATGGAAGAGCTTAGCGTAGTGTATAGATGAGCATGAAGAAGGACATGCCACCTCACGCATATACATATACACGTATGTACCAGACCAACATGATGCAAAAGTGAACCCCCGTGGCGAATTGGGCCGCCGGATAATTAACCAGCCCGAAGCTGGCAGAAAAAACCGCAGGGCCCTGGCGGAGGCACAACACTGAGGAAAAACCGGTTAAAATAACTGTGTGAGTTGCCAGTATGATGTAAGCCAGATATGGATTGATCGAAGAAGGATAGATTTACCATCACTGTGGATAAGAGTCATACTGTAGGTTAGAGTATTGCTCGCGAATAGCAAAGTCCCTGGTTCGAGTCCCGGTGGTGTGACTGATGATTTTTTTCTTTCTTTCATATCTGGCTTGCAAGTGTTGAGTTTCGGAGAGAAAACAGCAGTACGTGGCATGTGGCCTCTAATTTCCTAAAACTTTGAAATTCTCCGTGAAGTCCAAATTTGAAATCGCAATTTGTATTTGCTCACAGTGCACATAGTTTGATGCGCTCCCCATGATATCAAGCGAATGGCCTAGGGCCCTCTTGATTGGTGTCAGTTGCCAGTATGATGCACGCCAGATATGGATTGATCGAAAAAGGATAGATTTATCATCCCTGTTGATAAGAGTCATACTGTAGCTCAGTTGTTTAGAGCATTGCTCACGAGTAGCAAGGT